AACACTATCTTCAAGCTTCAACTAGTCCCATTGTGCCCAATAGTACTTTCTCACAGGGCTTAAGCTAGACACATTCTCCCAAGCAAGGCGCAAAACACTTGCTTGTAGAAAATCAATTATTGGCTTCAAATCTTGATCTTTCTCCTGTTCTGCTTTAATATCTATACTTGGTTTCACTTCACCATCATCAACTCCTTCAGTCACTTTGACTTCAGCTTGATGGCACCTGGTTAGTTCAACCTCTCTTTGCAGCGATGTCTGCAGTCATTTTTGCAGGATCTTCGGCTCAGTGTTGGCACTTCCATGATATTTTCCTTCTCTGTATTCAATATCGTAATTATACTGGTCCGTCTTTCCGATCCAACGTGCTAGTTGTCCCTCTGAGTTCTTTAATGATCTTAACCAGCGTAATGCAACATGGTCTGTCCTGATGGTAAACCTGGTACCATAAAGGTAAGGATGGAAATATGTCAGACTCTTTACTTTAGCAAGGAGTTACCTCCATGTTATACATTAGTTCCTCTCTGGTCTACTCAAGACCCTACTGAAGTAGGCCACCACCTGTTCGTTTTCACCCACTTTCTGAGACAACACTCCAATTCCGACATTACTAGCATCACAATCCAATATGCACGGCAGTGAGGGATTTGGAAGCTTTAAAAGTGGAGCTGAGGCCAATCTTTCTCTCAATGTCTAGAAAGCATGCTGGCAAAAAAACTGTTAATTCAAACTTCTGGCCTTTTTTGGTCAAATCATGTAGTGGAGCAGCTATAGTTGCAAAGTTCTTCACAAACTTCCGGTAATAGGTACACAGTCCAAAGAAATTTCTTAACTCTCCCACATTGTCTGGTGTTGACCAATCACGCACTTCTTTCACCTTGTCAGGATCAGTTTGCACACCATGCTAACTTACAATGTGACCCAAGTAAAGCACCTCTTTCTGGAACAAGTGGCATTTCTTTGGATAGAGTATGAGACTTGCCGCTTTCCAACACTTGAATACTTCCTCCAGCCAGGATACGTCCTCATCAAATGTTGCTGCAAACACAATGACATCATCCAGGTACACTAGGGCTATCCTTCATCGTAGGCCTTCCAGTACTCTTTCCACCAGCCTCTCAATTGTTGCTGGAGCATTGCTAAGCCCAAATGGCATCACACAGTATAGCCAGAGACCTTGGCCATAACTAAATGCAGTCTTAGGTTTATCTCCTTCAGCCATTTTCACTTGTTGGAAACCCAACTTTGAGTCCAGAGTTGAAAACCACCTGGCTCCACTTAGGGCATCAAGAGTATAATCAATTCTTGGCAGTGGGTATGAGTTCTTTTCGGTTATATTGTTAAGAGCCCTGAAGTCCACACAGTAACGTTGGGTCCAATCCTTCTTCTGGACTAGTATGCATTGGTCTTCAATGACAGCCAAGTATACTTTGTGTCTGTCCTTTATGCCCATGAGCTCAATAGTTACCCACACTGGTCTCCACAACCTTGTATAATGTCCTGTCACACGACCGAGTTTCTGTATGGCTTCTGGTACTCCTTTGTAATCTAGCACCTTTATACTCCCAAAGGTTTGCTGAGATGCATAATCTATGACAAAGTTACACTTTTGGCCATCCAACTTTCCTGTCACGTAGATACCATGTGTGCTTGCCATTTTACACTTAGCTGTTGGGACTTTCACAATGGGGGTTGGTGGGCGTCCCTCAGCACAGTTCCAACAACCTTTCTGGGTGGTAGCCTTTCCTGCCGTGGCATCTTCCTTGTGTTGAAGTTGCCAGCATTGAGCTCTCTTGTGCCCAGGTTTGTTACAGTACCAGCAAAGTCCCTCAAACGTCTCTGAAAGCTGCCCTTTTCTGGCCTTAAATCCTGATGACTGCACCAACCTTGGTACCTCTGTGCTGGACTTAACGTAGGATTCGCATTAAAGAGCTCTGGCCATTGAATTCTGCATAGTAGAGGGGTGTGCTTGCTTTACTTGTATCTTCAGTTGTGGACTGTCCAAGGCATTTACAAACTGATCCCTCAGCAACAGCTTGAAGACATCAGGTGGTGCAGTTGGGTAGGCCTTGTGTGCCATACTTTCCAAATCTTGTGCCAGTTCTTGCAGACTCTCCCCTTTAACACAGACTCTCGTTCTAAACCTAGCCCTGTAGACTTCGAACTGATTTTGAGTTCCATACCCGAGTTCTAGAGCAGCTACCAGTACTCTATAGTTGTGCCTGTCGTCTGCTGACAACTGTCCAAGTATTTCCAGTGGTTGTCACTTCAGGCTCGTTGCCATATACACTGCTTTCTGCTTCCCTCTCCATCCATTCATTTCTGCCAGAAGCTCAAATTGTTCTCTATATGCTTCCCATGGTGCCTTCCCATCGAATTCCTGTTGCTTCAATCATACTAGATCACCCCTATTGCTGACACTCATCTCTGGAATGTGACATCTGGCAGGACTGAAGATGTCTGCATTAGGGTTTAGCTGCGGGGTCTGGAAGGGGCTTTCTGTTGTCTGGGGCTC